GCTGATCGACGCGCTGTAAAACGCCCTGCAAGTGAAATCCCATTATTTCCTTTGGGCATGGTTCTCACTTGGGCGTATTTCAGCATGTCGGAACGTGCTGAAAAACGCCCTATGCCCAAAGAAGTACAGGAGCTTCTTTGGGGCGTATTTCCGCGCTTATCCATTAGGATACAGCCGGATAGCCTTCGTAAACGCGTGTTTGATGCACGTTTTGTGGACTGCAAATCACGGTTAAAACATGCACCGCAAAACGCGCGTCATACACACATATTTCGAACGCCTTTGCCGGCTTCCGGGAGTCCTGTCGGCGATCCGGTGATGTCACGGACATCGATGTCACCGGACTCCTCCCCCCTTCCCCAAGTGGCCCCGACGGCTAACAACGGGAGGAGTCTGATGACGTAGATGTCCGTGACGACTAACGAAGGGAAGGGGAGGAGTCCGTGACGTCACCGGACTCCTCCCCACTTCGTTAGCCAACGGAGCCACTTGGGCCGGTGAGTTTGCCCAAGAAACTTTCTGCACGAGTGCCAGCCAAGGAATTGGCCTATACACATACAGCACAGCAATGAAGTCATAAAATGAACTAGGATCACACTAATCCAGCACGTTATTATTCTGAGTTGCCCCACTGGCGGCCATATTGACTGGGGCACGTGAGATTAATAACGTGCTGGATTAGTGTGATCCTAGTTCATTTTATTACTTCATTGCTGTGCTGTATGTGTATAGGCCAATGTAGTTGGATCTGTATGTGTGTTATAATTAATCGAAATTAAACGATTAAAAAAATTTCCATTAATCGAACATGAAAATTGTAATCATTACCAGCCCTAATATATATCTTTTACATCTGAGAGCCTTCTTCTTGCAACAGGAAGGAAAGTATATGAGTATTTGTCAGTAAATGGACCAGCAGCAGCAGATGATTCATGATGGGGGGGTTGTAATTGATTTCTGGAGCTTTTTTTTTTTTTTTAATCCTTTGAACCCCTCCTGTACATCTGATCTCCACCCTGCCTCTGTAGCGCCTGTATATTAACTCTTCACCTCCATTATCCTGCATATTAACCTTTATCATCTCCATCCTTCCACTGTATTTGACCAGTACATTAACTCCAATAGAAGAAGTCACCGGCACACCAATATCCGCTCTACCATTCCGTTTTAATTGGAGGTGGATATAGGGTTGCCACCTGTCCAGGATTCACCCGAACAGTCCGGGTTTTGAGTGCTGTGTCCGGGTTTCATGGCAGCAGAAACCCGGACACAAGATGCCAGGCAGACAGGGGCAACCTAAATTAAGATAGGGGCTACTGGCCCCCCCTGAAAATAGTCTCAACTGTGATATTTACATATGATTAAGCCACGACTTTAAAAAAAAAATCAGCGCGGCGCTAAAATGTTCGGGTTTCGCTTAAAAAAAATGGTGGCAACCCTAGGAGGATAGTCATATCATCACATTGAAAGGCAACGTTTCGGAACTGAATAGGTTCCTTCATCTGCAAAGTTAAGGGCGTCGCCATGAGATAACCTCAGATGGCATCCTATTGTGGGGGTTTCAGGTGTGGGGGGGGG